ATTGAGTAAACCAGAGTGTCACTTTATGAGAGAAATGATTTATTTCAGTAAGCTTTCTGCTCCTCCTAGTAACTCTGATCCAGTGCAAACTGCCGCCATAAAACCTGAAGCAGTAAAGGTTGGAACAAATGAATAAAGTGATGAGTTTCTGCATTTTAGCCACTAGATGGCAGTAGCTGCATTATCATCATATGTGATTTGAGTGAAATCAACCACCTGTTAGTTTTAGAGAGTTTTCTGATCAGAGAAGTTCCTCTGATCCACTTAATGAGGCTGTTAAATCCAGCCCATAAGGTCAGAGAGTGGACTGTGGAGCAGCAGCATGGCAGCTGGCAGCAGAGTGAAGCTGAACGGGTCAGCCGGTTTCCTCCCATTCCACATCCATCTGAAAACAGGAAGCTACTGGGTAGTGGGAAGCTTCCGGCCCTTTGGCCCCGGCCGCCTCCATCCTCAGCTTTTATGAGCCAGCTGCTCTCAACATTAGCGGGGTGAGCCTGCAGATATACACTGAGGACAGTCCATTAATGGGAACACATTCAAACCCAGACAGCAGAGCGGCCTGCTGCTGTAGCGCAGTTTTTTATATCTGTGGTGAAAGTGCGGTTTCCTCAGTGAGTGTTTCAGTTTATAAAGAGGTACGTAAATACAAGGACAGAAGCCAGTAAAACAGTTTGTCTTCCTGTAGAGAGACCCAGCTAAAGCAGACAGATTGGAAGTTACTTCCAGGAGGCCGAGGAGGTCAACATGTCTGTAGCCAGAAAATCCTCCCCCAAATTCATTATTGTAGGCAAAGAAATGCTTTACGTATATTAATGATATTCCAATAAATACCCTCAAATACTCAGATGGCATACCTTCAGGCTTCTCCTTCTCTCCAGTTATCCTAACAGCTGTGTGTGAACCATGACAAAGCCAGAGTACCTGGTGAGAACTCGAAATTGAACAGGGAGAACATGTGAACTCCAGCCGTCTAGAACGTCCTCACCCTTAAAACCAGGCCGACACACAGCAGATTGATTTTACTACCGAGTTTTAAACTGAAAAGAAGCCAAGCAAAGCATTGGAATTACATTACAGAGTAAAAAGTGAGATTTAATTCAGGGTTCTGGTTAGTTCTAAACGTCAGATTTCAACAGAACTTTCTCCAGATGCCCAAAATATAAAAGTGCCCTCCCACTTGGAAACCATCTGTATTGCTTTGTCTTTTGGTTTGTGGATAAAAAAAATAAGCCCACAATGACTTAATGAAGGCAAAATATGTGGATTTCTTTTCTTTTTTGCATCAAAACGTCTACAATTGTCTGACAGAAACCGAAAAATCGAGAATGTTGAGCCAGGAAAGGGGATAGAAGAAAGAACTTTGAAATGGAGAGGATGAAATGAATTTTCCTTTAGGATTACTAAAATATTTTGCTGTAGAACCACTTCCTTTTTAAACCTGTTGCTCCTCTGCTTTAGCATAATCGATCTCATAGTTCAGTGTTAAACACTGAAGCATCTAAAGAGGTCTTCTAGTGTTAGCTGATAAAATGGTGTAATTGTTTGGACTTAAACCCAGCAGAGAACCTGGGGACTATTGTCAGAAGGAAGATGAGACACCAGAAATAAGAAAGCAGACAAGAAGAACCACAGGCTGATCTCCTGCCCGCCATGCTACACCTCTCTATTAGATCTTCTCTTATTCGTCTAATGTAATATTTGACTTTTCCAGGGAACATTTTTCTCTCCAGAATGTGGAAGTCAACCCAAAACGATCCGTACATGAATTAAATACCGAGCTGCTCAACTGTCCTGCAGATTTAACGCTGCTCAGTCAGAGCGTAATTTAAAAATTGGAAGCAAATGTTTATCCTGTAAATACGCTCCGAGCTCTGCGGCCTCCTCTCAGCTATTTCAGGCCTGTGGGTCGCAGTCGGACCAGACACACGGGCGGTAGAGAGAACCCGCCTCATAAAAAAGCCCAGCTCCAAAGGCCACAGCTAATATTTGACCTCCGTTTAAGCAAATATAATTACAGGGATGCTGATGAAAAGCGGAGGAGGGATCAGTGGAGGAGAGGAGCCTTCTTCTTTGGAGCTACTGCGCCTAAATTAGATGTTTCATTCTGGATGTTCCTGGTTGATGTCGGATTAAAGAGGTGCTTTTCTTTCCTTTCCTCCACAGATTTCAGGATAGAGGAACGTTTATTCTGTTTTCCTGCGTAAAAGAAGACGTCACTGATTAGTTAAGGGTTCAAATTCCTAAAAGTAAACATTCTGCTGTCAGGAGAGATACTCTGTCTCTTCTGTCCTGCGTTCTCCTCCTAACAGGATGCGTCCAAAGCCACACAGTAAGGCAACCAGAAGGCGTCCTGACGCCATAACGAAGGTGACAACATCAGTAAAAACGCTCTATTACGCTCTGAGCTGCAGCCCATGAACACCTCAAACGGGATCGGTGAGAAGGATGCGGCGTGGAGAAATCCCATCCAGGATGTAGAGTGGTTGGAGAATCCTTTCAAAGTTTGGAAAAAGAGGCTAAATAAAACTTAGAAGTTTAAAACTACATCCTACTGAATAAACCCCGACACCTGTGAGATAGTTACTATCGGAGCTGCAGCAGCAGTGAACCATAATCATCATAAATCCACGGGTAAAGGTGGATTTCCCTCTCCCTGCGCTGCCTCCTGAGGTTCAGATCCTTTGTACACATTTCAAGCACCGAGACGATGAAGAAACAAAGCAGACCTAAAAAAAAAAACTTCCTTCAAAGGCATTACAATCAAACGGCAGATTTCCTTCCAGCTTTGCCTTTTTTCCCCTCGTTCTAAAAGCATAACTCATTCATAATATAAATGAGTTTGAGCAGCAAACCACCAGTGACGGCAGTCGGCTCGGTTCCTGGCTGCTCTGTGCCAGAGCGCCGTCTCCGTGTAATTAAAGCTGTCTGCTGCAGCAGAGCCTGCCTGTCAGGAGCGGAGGGGAGGGATGTTTTCATCCATCTATTGATCGGATAAAGGACCTGTGACGGATTTGGACTTGATCCTCCTCTAGAAAGCAACAGCGATCGCATACATGGGTATTTAATAAAACTGGCATGGCTAAGCAGGCTTACAACAAATGAAGATGAAGCATCAGAGCTGAAGGGCACCGTCCTTTATTATCATCTCAACTCTTCACTTTATATTCCTGGACAGCAAACAGCCACAGGATGATGGAGGTCAGACAGAATGTTTTAATCACACAGTGCAGCTTTTAGGCGTGTGGAGACTGGAGCAAATGGAGAACAGGGGCTCCTAGATCCAGAACAAGACGACACGTAACGTTCAGCAGCTTGTGAAAAATGGCACACAGTTAAGGTCGTTAACAGAAGTGCTCAAACGAGGCTTTGAAAAGGTCGACATCGTCACGTTCCAGCCAGAACTATTTATTATTATAAAAGTATTTTGTTGGGATTTAATGGAT